GACCAGGAATGTGTTTTTAGGGCAATATTGCCACTAACAGTTGCTTTGTGGGAAGTTATCAGTTGTTATGGTTCACATAATTTGCCTATGTAGTGAATATTTAGCTAATTCTATTACTCATGTACTGCGCAGACCAACTTTACATGTGCCTGTAAGTTCCACTGCTATCGTTCTTCAGTGAGGCTGAGTTTTGCTTTGACTTGTGAGCAAAAATTTGAAATACGAGGGCTTTATGGTGGCAGCAACTCACTTGACAATGGGCAAACGTTTGGCAGATATTTACCAAACAGTTCTTCAGAAAAGAGCGTGCGAGCTGTTTAATGCTGCGGCAGATTGTGCATTCAAAACAACCACACAACACCACCACCACCTTCCACGAGCTTAATGCAAACACAAACTGCAAAACGCCATCGATGGACTGCCCAATAGCATCAACAGTAATGGTATTTGTGATCTTTTAGGCAACGGCTTTTTGAACACAAAGGGTGGGTTAATACATGTAGACAAACTATATAACTGTACTCAGAGGCATATATTTATCCTCTGCAAAAAAAAAAAAAACACTACACTGCAGCTTACTGAGTCACTTACAGCAGTTGTGAAACTTGTCTTTCGTTATATGCATGTGTTATACTGTATGATTGGCTGGCAACCAGTTCAGGGTGTACCCGCTTACTGGCTGAAGATAGCTGAGATAGGATCCAGCAAGCCCGCGATCCTCGTGAGGATTTAAGCGGATTAGAAAATCGATAGATGGATGTATCATACTGACACCAGAAAGAGTCACAATGCATTAATCAGGATGTAGTGTTTAATTATTTTGATGATTTTCAATGATGAAATTATGATATGTTTTATACGCTACACTATTATGAAATGCTATTTCCCTTATTAAAAACACAAACATATGACATTTTTTGGGGGGGGTCGGAGGGATATTTTGGGGAGGCAGAAATGGGTTACTTTCTCTGTATTCTCTCTGTTACTCCCAATAATAAAGAACTTCAACTTCGCATCCCTGAGGCCGAATCACAGGATAAGCAAAGAAACAATACAGAAAAAAGTAATTCCCCACCTGGAGTCTCACAACATTTGCTTGCACGACCTGAATAAATTACACATTATACTTGTGTGACCAGATTTGTTGCTCACCACTTGCAGAGTAAAATGATAGCGTACTTCATTGGGAGAGGGAAGGGGAATAGGGGCAGGGTGGGAGGATCAAAACTTAAAACCATATTCCACGGGGTCTCTTAATCTTAATATAGCATGACTGAACACAGAAGGGAAATCATCCATCAAAGTGAGGGAGTAGCCGAAAAGCAACCACAGAATAAATAGGATTCAGTTAGATCTACTCCAGTCAGCGGAGTCTACTGTGCAGTGGGCTGAGGCATGTTCATGGAAATAACTCCCAACAAATCACATTTACAGCTCAGGGAGAGGTCCCCCGACAACAAGGGTGGTGTCCCTGCACTCCAGTCAATACATCATGATGGGGGGGGAAAAAAAGAGGGGCCTCAATGTACCCCCCCACACCCCCCTCCGACCCTCACCCATCCACCCTAACCCAACCTCCTTGGGTGGCTCGTCTCTCGAGTGCGACCAACTCTATTTCATGCAGACAGCTTGTCTCACACGCCCGGAAGCCACGCAGGCTTCATCGATTATCAATGTGCCCCCCACCCCACCCCCAAACAAAACAGGGCCCCTGTTCTGTTTATCTGTAGAACAAGCTGCTACTGCCTCTTCACCCTTCGGAATGCAGCAGCAACGCATCCTTGACACATTTAAATGTTTGAAGATATGCACCTGAGGCGTTTAATAACCAAGAGACAACCGCCAATGTATTTTGGAAGAGCAGATGTCAGTCAAACATGAGCTTGCCAAGTAAACGTAGTCGTGAAATGCAATGTTTTGTCAGGCACTTATTTTACATGAGGAAACCTCATGGTCAGTGGTGGGAAGCAACCAAGTGCAAATACTTGATGAGTACACGTAAGTGCATTTTTCAGGTGAGATACGAGTGCCTTCACTAATGAGTTTTTCAAGGCACCAGCTGTCACTTGGTTGATTTTGTCCGATTATTCGATGAAAGAGTCGTTGGAATCATCGATTCTATAAATGACAGGTTGGTGACAGCCTTTGCGGCGGTCTACACAATGAAGCCCCACATACTTGCCATTTGACACCTGTGGCTCAAACCTATTTGTGGATTTTTTTCATTAAAAAACGTTTTTTTTTAAATATGATTTTTTTTTCAACTCCTGTTTTGCCTGGAAAACTTATTGGAGGTTCCTCCATGTTTTTTTCCCAGATTTTTTTGTGTTTCTTTTTTTTTGTTTTCCCCCAATGCATTTATAATGGGTGTCGGTTAAAAATGAATTTTCAGTATTCGCAGACCGGCCTTGCTGCTATCCCTGCGAATAGCATAGGTCCACTGTATACTACTTTTATTTTGAATGCAAATACATTTCATGTTTCCATTTTGCCAAGTTTTGCATGTATTTTATTTCTTTCTTTCATTTTTTGTTTACAACTACTTATGTAGAGAATGAGTAGGCCAACATTTGCATCCTCTGCTCACAGCACACCTAACAAAAATGTCACAGAAAGTATATACTGTATAATGATCTTGTCTCAGTTTCCCCACTAATTTACTGACTCAGTGTGAAATTTGTACCTGTTTCATTTGACGCAAAACTATTATCCTGCTGTATAAATGGCAACTGGTGGATACACAGGTAAAACAGTGCCTTCTGCAATCTAGTGAAAGATCTTTTAAATGTATCTGTCTGTCAGTATACCGTATGCCACTTTCACAGATCGATGAACAAAGATTTGTAATGAATAAATAATCCTTTTCATACCAATTAAGTGAAATTTCCCACAGTACATCTGATGATCTCCCAGTACCTTTGTTGGGAATCGCTGCTAACCAATACAGGCAAACAGTGAGCGACTTGGGGAAAGCAACTCAACATGAATCAAAAACCTTCATTATGGGCAGTGTGGGTGTCTTGTGAGTGTGTGATTGTCAACACATCAATTCAGCACTGATGGACGCCAGAGGAGGCGCCATACGGCTGGCTTGATTTCTCTCATCAGGCTCCTAAAATGTTTTTATGTGGAAGTACCTTTGCAAAGTGACAACAGCTGTGCAAGCATAGTAATGGTATAACACTAATATGAAAATGGTCGTCATAGCACACTGTACCTATTGTATATGTACAAACAGTACATACTAGAGGAAGGATTTTCAAAGGTTTTATACCAACTACATCCTCAAAAAATACTTAATTCTCTAACGACCATTATCATTACCAACATTAAAATACAGAAGCACAGTAGCCGTAAGTGTGTATCAAAAATGAGGCAGATCGATTCTATATTGAATATTAAATTAAGCTATTACAATATGCGCAAATTGAATATTAACACTGTTTAGGTATAGGAAAATAAAATTATTCTGTTGTATTTATTCAAATTAAATGTATTGCACATAAGTTAAATGAAAATTGTAGATGGTACAAAAAATATTTCAAATGAAATAAAAAGGTTTTGCACTGGACACTGTGCGAGAATGAAAAAGGTTTGTGATACTGTAACATTATACACTTTCATCACACTGTCATCTACAACTGTTTCAAACAACAGTATCTGCAGGAAAAGTGGTTCAGATTGCACGACTGTCTGTGTCTTATGTGTTGTGTTGTATTATTTTGTCATTTTATGTTAACTATTCTTTCAATGGCAGCGCGGGCACCCGCAGCGGCTCCTCTTGTTGTCTGGTTGAGAGGGAAGAAATTTCATCTGTGCTGTATGTTGCACATACAGCGCATTTGACAATAAAGTTTTACTTGACTTGATTATGCGCAGTTTGAACCTTTAATTTAGTGATTTTTTTTTTCCCCACATACCACTATGGGAGTGTTTGTTCTTGATCAGTTCACATAGCATCCAACACCTTGTATGTCAGATACTCTTGAGCAAAAAGCAACATTTGCATTGATTTGCAAGCATGTTACTGAAGTTAAAGTAATGCTGTAGTTTAAATTAAATTTTACTCTGTCAAGTATCACAGCACATGAACCAGCACATAAAATCGTATTGCCAAAGAAATACTAAGGTTGAGCTGGATGAATTAAAGTACACAAGTATACGACCATTTTTTCTTGAAAACAACAAAAGAAGTTGTTTATATATATATATATGGCTCGTAAACGTCGGGAAAAGATGGTTTAGAATCAAGACAACAAAGACAGGTGACATTAGCCATGTACAGTATTCCGATTGGAATTTATTTGAATGACCAACCGCAATGAAAATGCTGCATGTAAATAACCTTGATCGGAATAAAAAGGTTGAAAGAGGGTGGTGTATAGTTCAGTATTCCTTTTGCCAATCCGAACGGGCGTCATGGAAACAGTTCAATCAGAATAGTCCAACTGCGTCCAGTCTGCGCATGTTGTCTTGACGTAAATGCGTAGTGACGTCGTCATATACGCAGACTGAAGTGGCAGCATTTTACCAAAGCTTGTCTGCGATGGGAGAACTTGTTTTAAAGTACTTGTAAGTTGTTTTTATCAAGACGTTGCTTTGATAAAAGTGTTAAAACTATCAAAACTAAAAGGATAAAAGACTAAATAACGCCGTCTTGATAAGTCATTTACATCAATCTCCGCGTGTCACACGGCTGATCTGATTAACTGAGCGGAGCGTGTAAACGACGGGTCGGAAAGGGGAAAAGGTGACGTCAAATGTAAATAGACCAGAAATCTTCATAAGCAATGATCATCTTAAGAAAAAAGGCTCCATATAAACCTGGCTACTGAGACATGACGAGTCCAGAAAAGTGGTCGGTAATGCGAGGATGACAGAAAGAGGCTCTAGACTGCACTACATCAACAGCATACTCAGCAACCTGTTGCTGTTGATTTTTTTTAAAAGTGAAAGAGAGAGCGAAGGGCGACGGGAGGAGACTTTCTGGTCACACTCACTGTGCTAAAATTGCGCGGGCCGCACATCTCTCCCTGGTAGCGACAATACAAGAGCATCTCCTCCAGCTGGTGTCCCAGCCGGTCCAGCAGCTGCCTCATGGACGGCTGCGACTCCCGAGGCGGAGGCAGAAAGTGGTTGAAGTCCAGGATTCGAGAGAGGGGTGACCAGGGCGGCTCAGTGCGCTGCGATGGTGCAGCCAAAGCTTCCTTGGCCTCGGCGGACACCTGCCAATTCCTCCCCAGGAGTCCCAGCCACCTCCCGGCGCTGAAGATGTCCGTTTTCTTCATGCGCCTGGGCAGGAGCAGGTTCTGGTTGCAAATGGTGACGGCGGGGAAAACGAGCCGCTTTGCGTACACCATGTGCGCCTTGGTATACACGGGCGATGAGAGGAGGTAGCGCACGCGGTTAGACGACCAGGCGAGCAGCAGAGCGACGGCCGCCAGGAACGCCAGCAGCCAGGCCACCCGGCGCGGGTACGAGCCACCGCCGAAGACGTGCCTTAGGCCGTGCAGGGTGGTGTGTTTGACGAAAAGCTTGCCGACTTCGGCCAGGGAGCCCGGTGCCTTCGCTTTGGAGGCGGATGAGTCGCACTGGCACATTTTTCTTTTTTTTTTAGTGGGGTGCGTGAAAGTCAAAAACGCTGGGGCAGATATGGTCAGTGCGGTCGTGCGCAACCAGGGCTCGAATGCGCGCCCTCGGATGGCTATGAGTTAGACAGTGATAATGTAGAGCAACACGAGAGAGAGAGAGATAGAGACAGAGAGAGAGACAGAGCGAGCGAGCGAGAGGGGGGAGAGAAAGAGAGAGAGTGAGAGAGAGTGAGCGAGCGCGCTGCAGCTTTTGCTGAGTACGCCTTGTATTTTGAGCTTCCCACCTACACGTTCAGAGTTTTTAATAGAAACAGGCAGCATGTTCACCCCACGAATATGTATAAAAAAAAAACAACTCCCCCCTCCCACATGTAAATTACACGAATCGCGCACATAGTCACAGTTCACCATTTATGAGTTCACCTTTTTCTTTCTTTCTGTGGGACCTCTCCCGAGATGTTATCTGAAAACTCACCTATTCACAGTGTTTTGGCGCTCTTTCCAGAACACACAACACAAGATGGTGCCAAAGCACTTGTTAACAGGCAAATACAGTGCTATCTTGACTTTCTCTTGTTTTGCAAGTGACAAGCCCTTGCTTGGTTGATGTATTTATTTTTTTGTTTCTCTGTGTTGCAGTCAAAATATTTAATTAGCTTTACTCTCAAAAATAATAAAGGTGTGTCAGAGGTTCATTTGCACTCGTAATTGAGTTCTATCTGGCGCCATTTTACACAATTGGTGTTCATTTCATGGTTCTTTCAAAAGGTGATATGTCAAGGGCATCATGGAATTCTTGAGGTAATTTAATAGGATACACATCCAAGAACCATTTGGTTTTCATGTGGTACTATATACAGTAGAACTACTCGATAATTAGTGCTTCTTTTATATCAAATAATTACTGCACTACTCTTTTTTTCTTTGTTGCAATTTCCAACTGTACTGTCTGAAGTCCTGTGGCCCCCTGCTGCCCTCTTCTTTGAAAGAGAACATTATCAATGGTGAAATCGTTGTGTGTGTCTGATCTGGTCATTTCGAGTAAACTAGACCATTTAAGAACAGTAAAAACACACATGGCAATATATTTCCTTGTCCTGTACTAGGCTGCTTATTAAAAAAAAAAACACACATGTACCTTCACTTTAGTCTCTTCAGGCCATACTTTTACATTCATGAAAAAAGAATGATGCAACAATGTTCAATATTTACATATGTGTGGCTTTTTTGGCCACATCAAATGTTGTCTTCGGGAAGTTCAAGGTTCTACATACCGGCTCTGGACTGCCGTGGTCCATTAGTGAGCACATAATATATTTGTTCAAACTAAGCAGATAATAAATAAATAATAAAAAATCAGAATAAGAATAAGAAAAATAAACATTTTGTTAGGGTTTGGGTGTGACCCCAAGAGCACGACAACAGGCAGGTATTGTTGAAGCCAACACTTGGCGTAGTTTATTCGAAGAGTCTTCGCAAAGTCACTCAGGGGGAAGCACGAGGAGTCCACAAGGAATTGTCCACACAAGGAACAAGCAGCTGTCGGAAATGGCAACAAAGTCCACTGGCGTGGTGACGGCAACCTTCGCCTCGCCGGAGAACAAGAACAAAAGCGACGGCGACCTTCTCCTCGCCGGAGAACAGGAACAAAAGCGACGGCGACCTTCGCCTCGCCAGGTTACAGGAACAAAAGCGACGGCAATCCTTCACCTCGCCAGGGAACAGGAACAAAAGCGGCGGCAATCCTTTGGCTGGGCGTGGCCTGACGTGGACGGAGCTCGACGTAACGGGGGACATGGGAGAGCCGGACGTGAACAGGGGCTCGGCCTGACGTGGGCGTGGACGTGGCATGGCTTGTCGTCTACGTGAATGTGACTCAGCTCCAACAGACACGTGAC